AACTGAAGGATTTCTGCAGTCCACGAAACTTAATATTGATAAATATGAGGAAGTTAATGATCTTCCCATGCAAAGCAAAATATAGACAAGCAAATAATGGAAAACAGTACTACACTATAGGTCAAGAGTCAGAGCAAATACATAAGACTATACAGGTATGTTTGTGCTCTCCTGTTCATTTTCTTTCTTTTTTACCAAGCAAAGCTTGGATAAACTCTGAAACAAATGCATATATTGTGAAAATATGTTGAGTTTCACAGACAAAAAGTCCTTAAAATGCACATAGGAAGGGTAGGGGGAATATGTGTTTAATTACCAATGGCTTAGGTCTGAAAAATGGTAAAAACTTTTTTCTAAACTTATTAAGCGATCGTGTCTATATAAACACATTCTATCAAGAGAGTAGAAGAGGAATTAATTATAGTATTTTTGCTAAGAAACCCCCCTGTGTAGCTTTGAAGCACTGTAAGGTGTTAACTCAAGCCCAAGAGAGAAAATTAATAATGGTGTATTATTTCTATAGGCTGTGCTTATATAGACACATATGAATACTGAAAAATGTTTAAGAGCAGCTGCCTCAGAACTTCACAGCAATCCCAGCTCCAGAAATTTTCAGCTGTCAGTGCCTAAGGGTAGCTTTTCAGTGCAGCTAGGCTTACAATGAAACAAACAACAAATCCTGTCTCCAGGGTTACAATTATCAGTTAAGTAAATAGCATTTTTTAAACTTATCTTCTAAATACATCAGTGGCAAAACCAAAATTGCTCAAGATAACAATGAACCAAATACAGGTGTGTCTGCATGTAGCCAGTCATTTCTAGAAGAAAGTAGAGTCAGGAGGTGGGGTAGAAACCAAGCGGAATGATTGGAGAAGCCCAACACACTCCCAGGAATGCGACTTGAAACTGAGCAAAGGGGAGCTGCAGTGCCCTGCTGCTGCTATGGCAATCATTTATTGGAATGCTTTCTCTCTCTCCCACCCTCTTCCGTGTAATGAATCTTCTTTCTTCTGCAGTATCTTTCCCTACAAGTAGTTTGAATCAACTGTGTTGAGTGTGTTGCAAGTTCAGTGAGTGAGAGATGAGTTCTCAGAGGTAGAACTCATGCTTATACTGGTAGAGATCAGTCCTCTTAATAATCACTTCAGGAATTTCAGGGAGATCTAAGTGGATTACTTCATTCCTGCACCAAAAAAATAAAAAATAAAAAAAAAAGAGAGAAAATTGATAGAACTCATTTAAAAAAAAAAAAAAAAAAGCAGACTAAGTTAAGTTTAGACAAAATTCCTCCTCCTTCAGGAAAGAAGTGAACATCTTCATCTGGAATCTGCAAGACCACATTTAAATTGCATACAAACCTCTAAAAAAAATGCATTTATTTTGTCCAAACAAACAAACAAACCGTTTTGCTGAATTCTAACACCAATGGACTGAACATCAAAATTGAAATAAGGTATTTTTCACAATGTTACTTTCCCAAGTTAAATGGACAAGAAGTCATGACAGTATTTCCTCTTAATAGACCCAAGAATGACTCCACACAAGAAGTGACAGACTCTCCTTGGTGGTTTGTTAAAAGTCTCTTAAAACTTCTTAATAGCCTTTAGAGAGGTTACAATAATTCAGTTAAGGTTGGTAACAATAACCCTAACTTCTCTATATTTATTCTAAGTCGTACTCAAGCTTCATATACATTTTAAGGTATTGTTGAAATGTTGAAATATACCAGATGCAGAATGTTTGGAAGGAAGGGTTTTGACTTCTTAGTGTAGTATATGTATGTTTGTATGTCAATACAGAGATGACAATACAGCCTTTTAATAAATAACAGCTTGCTTAAGGCTAACAAGAAACCAGTGGTGAGCCTTTTCTACTTGTAACATCAACGCTTCCCTGATGCTTTACTTTAAAGTAATAATACAACTGTGCTTGGTATTAATAATAAATTGGTTTTGTTTTTCTTGAACTTAGCTTCAGTTAACTCACATTCAAACAGTCCAATAAATTTTCAGCAAAGTAGTTTGATCTAACAAGCAAGTGGTTTCAAATGGTTTCCAAAACAGCCATTGGCTTTGGGTGCCCTACATCTGAAGATAAAATGGAAGCACTCAGCATATCCATAATGGACATCATTTTTCATGACTTAGCATCTTCTAGAGTAACTTCAACAAAAACTTGGTATAAATGCCAACAATTCAGGAATTCAGGTTTGTTTTACACTGATATTAGTTGATGATTATCATGAGCAAGGCGTGAGCTTCCAAATCCTGTGCATCAGAATCCCCTGCTTCTTATAAAGTTTCCTATGCTGTGACAGCTCAACTGAATGATTTTTTTTTATTTTCCCTCTATCTTGCCTTTCTTCCACCACTGTTAGCCCAACAGTATCTATATAAATGTTTATGGTAGTCTAGTTTTTACCTTCCTCTGAATTGAAATACATAAGCATAAAGAACAAAGACTTGGAGTGTGTTTATAACGGTTGTGCCAGAAACCAATTAAATCAAATAAATAAAAATCAATATGGTAAGGTATTTTAAAATGTACTTTGGTCCTTATCAGCAAAAAGCAGGATTAGACTCTCTTCTAGCTGTAGCTGATAGACAACACTGCTTTTTAACTAAGCTGAAAACAGGAACAAATTCAAAGAAGTAAAGCAACTAATAGCTGGCTTTAAATAGAAGTAAACTGTCTTAGCCAAGTTCAGTTTTACATTTAATGTGGACTAATTCATCCAACTCTCGCTGCCATTAGGAAGTTTCTGTGTACAGCTTTTGGATGCAAAAGGATGTTTCTTCTTTCTGTGAAAGACGATCACCACTACTAGAGACTGCTTACTTAATAAAATCTACTCTCTGAAATAATAACATAAAAACGTGCTTGCTGCACCGTGTATTTCTCTTCCCAGGAAAAAAGCTTCTCACATTATGGAGCTGAGTGTCCCTCTTTGTGAACCGACTGGTAGTTAAACTGATTCATTTTGTCCTATTTTGGGCTTCATATCTGTTTTCATCCTTATGTTCCAGTATTGTTGGAATGAGAACAGCTGTGATTGGGCACATCACTATCAGCACGTTCTCTGGGGTCTTATAACAGCCTAAGCAAGTCTGCTCCTGTTCTGAAGAAAAGAAATATTACAAATCATATATTTTCTGTCAGTATTTAGTATAATATTTTCAGCAAAAGTGTTGTTAATGAAAAAGCCAACTGTACATTAACTCCCATTAGGTAATTGCACTCGGTTGGCTTTTTTAGCAACTAAGCATGGGTTTAACTGTCACATCACCTGTAGCTATGATGAAATAGTACCTTTTTCCTTGTTCTGCACCTGTTCCACGATGAAGTTCAGTAGAAGAAGGTAATGATTCTAAGCTGTCTTAATTTATTTCCAGATTTAGACACGTAAGCAGAAGTCATCTTTGTGAACAGCAGTAACATTTTCAAATTTTCTACAGCTGTTTTTCACCTACAGCACTGACACACTTACCCTCTGGTCCCATATTTTAAGTTAAGAACTATTGTGAAGCAAGGAGAGGCCAACTGTGCACATCAGATTATGAAGAACTGGAGTTCCTTTAAATGACCTTTGAATACCTTATGTCTTTATATACTATCAGATTAAAATAACACCAAAGGAATAGTTAAGCTTGAATCTGCCGTAGAGTTTTTGACAGTTGCTAAAGGAATTTTCTGATAAAAGCTTCCTTTAGAAAACTCAAGTTTGTATCTAGGAAGAGAATGAGGAATAGCAACTGAAAAATCACCAAGAAAAAGACACTTAAAAAGAGCTGAAACAAAATGAGAAATGGTTTGTAAGTGACACAACCACCATTTCTTTTTTTTAGGACGCACTCTAGTGGACACAGACTGGAATGAGGATATAAATGTTATGGAAGAATAGACGATGAAAGCCGCTTGTTGGAAATAGTGATTAGAATTATTTACTAGCATGTTTAAAATTGTCTTATATAATTAGGCAATATATTCAAGTTATACGTGAAGGCTGAAGTTTCCATAATAAACGTATCTAAACAGAAGGACTGAAGTAAAAACACTGGTTTGAATGAAAACCTTCCTGATCTATTTATCCACTTAGTCCATTCAAGACTGGCACAAGAAGTTGCTGTGCATTCATTATTAATAAATTTCAATTAGATTAATTTAATAATGATATTTAGTAGAGATGATCAGTTTGTTAACGTGCGAATTCAGTAAAGGTTATTTTAAGATCTGACTAAACAAAATGAATGTGCTGGCTGTTGCAGCTCACCTATTATCGCACAGTAATCAGTAAAGATGTTAAATTGTAGAGCAAACAACCAGTGTCATTAAAAAGTACCTTATGATTTCTGATAGACTGACTTCTTTTTATTACATGTTTCTACTAAGTCCTTCCAGTATTTGGAGGGAGCGTATAATCAGGAGGGGGAACAGCTGTATGTGAGGGTGGATAGTGATAAGACAAGGGGGAATGGTTTTAAGCTGAGCCAGGGGAGGTTTAGGTGAGATATTAGGAGGAAGATTTTCACACAGAGGGTGGTGAGGCCCTGGAACAGTTTGCCCAAGGAGGCTGTGGATGCCCCATCCCTGCAGGCATTCAAGGCCAGGCTGGATGTGGCTCTGGGCAGCCTGGTCTGCTGGTTGGCGACTCTGCACATAGCAGGGGGTTGGAACCAGATGGTCATTGTGGTCCTTATCAACCCAGGCCATTCTAGGATTCTATCAAGTCACAGAAAGTTACTTCCTAGTGGCATAAATCCTCTGACTAAATTTTGCATTTAGTTCCACGTAGGAAACTTGTTTCACCTCCTACTAAACACAGCATTCCTTCTTAATATCAGAAACCTTTTAAATTCATGTCAAGTCTTTTCAATTTTTTTTGTTTTTTTTTTACTATATATTCAAATGATGATATTGTAGCCCCTACTGCAAAATAATCTTGATACACAAAATCTACATCTATATTAATTTTTTTTTTACACTTCAAGAATCAGCAGGTAATCAGTGAAAAATGTATTTATTTCTTTTATCCCAGTTCCAGTTTTTTTCTCCAAGTCAGCTGTGCCAGCTATTGTAGTTTAAGAACAGTAAGGAAGCATGGCATGCCAAAATTAACAGGCTTTATAGGAACACCCAGAAAGCAAAGAAACCAAAACAGGTATATATATAATCAGTTTTCTATACAAAGTACACTAATTAAGATGTAGCCCTTCAGGGTTAGCTAGTAACGAGTAGAAACTGTTTTGAGTGCCTTCAGATCAGATGGAACTTTCTTGTTCGAACTCTGGCGTTAAATCAGTTGCAATCTAAAGACAGAAATAAATATATCAATTGTAAACATTAACATTATACAAACAAAGAAAAAACATATAATACAGACAAGTCTTCATTCATAAGTAGAAATATGTATTCTTCCATTCAGTTAAATATGATGAAGCTTTATCACTAGACTAAGTCTCAGATCCTGTAAGTTTGAATGATGTGTTAGAACTCTGAGAGCAGAGTAGTCTCGATGCTAAAGGTGAATATAGTTCCATTTCATTGATGTATTCTCAATTCATATTTTAATACAAAAATTGTAGCACTGCAAAACCTGCAATGACATCACCGATGGATTTATGTAATCCAACTTGAAACAACTTTGGGCATGAAAACTTGGTGAATGATGCAGAAGACATGTGTGAGAAGAGAAGGTAACCTGAGACAGCCAGCATGACTACACCAAGGGCAGATTGTGCCTCACCCATCTGGTGGCCTTCTATGATCAGTGGATAAAGGTCGTAGAGATGTCATGCACCTAAACTGCTGTAAGGCCTTTGATATGTTCCTGCATCATATTCCTGTCTCTAAATGGGAAAGATCTAGATTGGATGAGTGGACTGTTCAGTAGATAAGCATTGGTTGGATGGTCATTGGCAGAGGGTGGTCTCTGTCCAGGTAGAGGCCCCTCAGAGGTCCATCTTGGGACCAGCACTCCTCATCATTATCAATGACCAGGGTAGCACTATCGAGTGCACTCTGCAAGTCAGCAGGTGACACTAAGCTGAGTGGTGCAGTCGATGGAACAGAAGTAAGGGATGCCATCTAGAGGGACCTGGACAAGCTTGAGAAGTGGGCCAACAGGTACCTATTGAAATTCAATAAAGCCAGGGTAAGGGCAATCTCAGGTATGTGTACAGACTGGGAGAAGAACTGACTGAGAGCTACCTTGGGGAGAAGGACTTGGGGGGTTCTGGTGGATGAAAAGCTTGATGAGAGTCAGCAGCGTGTGTTTGCAGCTGAGAAGTCCAAAGTGCAATGTGGGCTGCATCAAAAGAGGGGTGGCCACCAGGGTGGGTGAGGTGATTGTTCCTCTCTGCTCCACCCTTGTGGGCCCCATCTGCAGTACTGCATCTGTGACAGGGTTGCTGAAACTAGATGACTTTTAAGGTCCCTTCCAGTTCAAGCCATTTTATGGTTCTTTGATTCATTTGCACTTCTGATTTTGCAATTCATTTATTTAAGGACACAAAATACACCTGAAGCCTCATGTACAGTTTTTAATATTCAGTTGCCAGAAAACTGTAAAAAAAAGAACTAGGTGAGACCTTGAGATCCCATCACATTTACCTCTTAGCAAAATCAAAGTAATTGTGAAAACTTGACCCTAAGTATAGTCATAAATATATTCACAAATGTATTTGGAGAACATTTATAAAACAGGTTGTTACTAAAGCAACCTTAAGCTTAAAGCATGTTAATACCACACTTAAGTTATAAGCTGGAGTTACACTGACAACGTCAGAAAACAAGTGAGTAAATTACTAAGGCTAATAAAGGAAAATGGGGTTCCCATGTAGTACTAAAACCGTTAGCCTACAAACAGGAGGGGAATCAACTCTTTGAAAGGGTTGATAACTGCAGGGCAAGGGGAAAAGGTTTTAAGTTGAGGGAGGGGAGATTTAGGTTGGACGTCAGGGGGAAGTTCTTTACAGAGAGAGTGGTGAGGTGCTGGAACAGGCTGCCCAGAGAGGTTGTGGATGCCCCATCCCTGGAGATGTTCAAGGCCAGATTACATGGGGCTCTTGGCAGCCTGGTCTAGCATTAGGTGGGAAGGTTGGTGGCCCTGCATGTGGCAGGGGGGTTGGAGATTCATGATCCTTGAGGTCCCTTCCAACCTGGCCATTCTGTGTGATTCAGTGTGACTTGGAATTTTGCTGGACTATCTAGACTGTAACTGAAAAAAGACACATCAATATTTATCTCCAGTGATGTACATAAAGGGCATCATCTGTTAAATGAACTGCCATGTTTCGGTCAATGATGGTGGATTTATACCCTCTCATGTACGAGCGCAAAGTGTTAAAAAAGAAAAAAATATGGGTGTAGAAGATGCCTGCTTATTACAATTTAGATTCATAGTTGCAGTACTGGATTAAATACTGTCATGCTGGCACGGGGCTCAGATAACCTGATTCTTAGCGGGTCTTTTCTGTACTGAGCACTGTGTGTGCTTGGTACCTGGTCTTTTACATTAAATAGTTGTTCTGATAAGTCAGCAGAACAGTGCATTCTGCTGCACAAACAATGTACTTCAGACCAATCAGGAAAACCTAAATAATTTCAGTCAGAAGCAAGTCAGCTTTCATGATTTAGTCCATGTTCTGTATGACACCTGCTCAAAACGCAAAGTAAAGTTGCCTCCTCTCTCGTTATATTAATGCTTCCACTCATAACACACATGACTATAATGGGGCATTTTAAGTCTTGGGGATTTATTCACTCCACACCACATGGCAGTGTGTCAGAATGCACCAGACAACAGGCTAAGGACAGTGTGAAAACTGTGGTCAAAATAATATCCCATAGAATTATAGGAATGAACCAGCACAGGATTAACTAGAACAGTCTTAATAGTTGATTTGACAGCAAGCAAATATCTGAGAATTAATTATTTGTAATCTCTTTGTTTCCCAGCACTTACCTCAGACAGTCCGTTCTCATCTAGTTCCTCAACTCTGGACAAATTAGGTGCTCCTTCTCTATCTGTAAGTTCAGCTATTGTCTTTTCATTTTCCTAAGGTCACAGAAATATGTTTTCAGTTAAAAGTATTAGTGTCATGAGTAATCATCTACAGTGGATACTTTTAAATATGCTAAAATGTCTTTTACGTATTAATGTAAAGACAGTACTTCAGATGCATGTTACACAAATGTTTGTGTGTGAATAGGTCGTTGTATACCTGTCAAGACAGGTATATGAGGTTTATGAGGTTTTCTTTTAAACTGTAGGATTCTTTTTTACTTCAATTTATATATGTATATATTTCTGTTACATTTACACTGTCATTTTTCCAGTTATGTGTTATCAGAATTTCAACACAGTGCTCTAAAAATATCTCTCAACTATTGTGCTCCGTGTAAAGTTAAGAAATATTTCACATTTAAGTTAAATGTCAATTATTGGTCTATATTTTTTTACTGAAACAGCATTATAAGAATATATATTCACATGGACCTCTGTATACTCAGAGGAAGATCACAGAATCAAGAGGCACCCCAACTCCAAGTGATAGTTCCTTTTCCAGTTACAGCAAATGGACTTCACACTGCCACGCAGTGAAACATTACTGTCTAGACATTTAGATTAGACATGTAAGTTTTAGTACTTTCTCATTCAAAAATAAGCTGAACTTTAGCTAGATTTTACAATAAATTTATGCTGTGTTCTGAATAAAAACTAAATAAACCTGATGGAACAGATGAAAATTGAAGTATAAAACCTAGACTGAAAGGAAGCATTAAACATTCTTCCCTGATGTTTGCTTTTTTTTTTTTCTTTGTGTTAGTTCAGTGCTTCTAGGTTTCTGCCTTGTGTTCTGTATTTACTGACTAAATCTGAAAAGGACAGCTGATTAACAGTATTTCCAAATCTTAATTAATCTTTGGCTTAAACCTCGGGATCCTGCTGCTGCAGCTGCATGTTCTCTTCTTCGTTCTGCAGTTTCAACTTCTCACGTTCTTGTTCCTATCATAAGGAAGAAGACAGCTGAAGATAGCGTACAGACTTCTGATACTCATTCTTCACACCCCTTAGTAGTTAATATTTATCATCTCCTATAATTTGGATTAGCCTCATTGAAGCTTTGCACAGCACATAATATAGACAGATTAATCCATACAAATTCTACGGGGGAAAAAAATAGGTAAGATAATTAACTACAGCAGACAGTCTACTTATTTTAAGCTACTTTTCCTATAAATTTTAACTTAGTTGCTGTTTAGCTTCAACTCTTCATTTTTGGTAACAACTTAGCATGCAGCAGGTAAGTTTTGTTCCCCAGCTGCTGACTAGTCCTTCATTTATCATTTCCAAAACATGATGTTTAAACACTTGTTTTGTTATCTTTTTTTTTTTTTTATATATAGTCAGAATATAATGACTGCTATTGTAGGGAGAGCTTCAAGTTGCCCCAGCATCATATGCTACTATAATTATGTATTATTATTAACCTGTTGATATTCTTCAAATCTCTGTTGTATTATCAGCTCTTCTTCCTTCATTTTTCTTAACATTTCAAGTTCTTCCAGGGCTGCCTGCTGTTCTTTTTCCATTTCAATTTTTTCCAACGTTCTCTGTGTCAGAGATAACACAAAATAAATAAATAAAAACAACAAAATGTAAAGAGAGATTAAACAGCATTAATTAGACTGCTAGGAAATGCTTTGCTCAAGGTAGATCCACCTTTTGTTCTTCCTCTAGAGTTCTCTTGTAGTTGTAAATCCAGTGTGCCAGGTACTCTATGGGGTCTGCAGGCTGATGCTCCACAACCTCTGCCAGACCCTTTTTCAAGCAACTTCCCAGGCATCTCCTCAGGTACTGAGACTCCATTCGCATCTATTGACGACAAAACTACAAACATTAGTTACCAACAACAGAACATGAGGGTGAATATGTAACTGTGAGCAGTCGCCAAGGAGTTTATCAGATTCCTTGATGGACCCTACCGCTGTGAAACCTTGGGAGTCTGGAATGTAAGGCAGAGAGCAGATGGTATCTGTTTGCATCTAAGGGTAAACAGGAGGTTCTGTTTGTATGCATTGTTTATCTTATCACACTTCAGAAACCTTTCATCCTTTATCACTGTTGTCTGGGAGAAGCGAGGCCAATTAACTGATTAGAGGGACAGGAATTTCTTGCTTGCAAGTGACTGGTAAATAAGATGTATGTTGAACACAATAAAGCAGAAGTATTCCGACAACTATTCTGCTGCTACAAGAAACCGTGAGAGCTCCCTAACTCGACTGAGCGCCCACAAGAATACAATTAGGAGTTAGGGGAGCATTGGCTGCATCCCGTGCTGAATGTGAAGCTAATAATTTCATTAAAGCTAATTTAATCAGGCAATCGGTAAGAGAAAATCGTCTAAATGGGGGAGCGGTCCCGCCGTGTGTTCCTACCAGCCGGCTCTCACAGCGCGTCCTCCCGCGTTACCAAGCAACCGCGGCCGGGCGGTGTCGCTGCTGTTCCGCCCGCTGCCTTCCGTCGGCCGCCGCCATTTTGCGTCCGCTTCCGCCGGGGCGCACGCGCGGCCCCGGGTTGAAAGGACACCGCGCATGCGCGCGGGCGGCCCGTCTGAGGCGATGGCGGGCGGCGGAGGCGCGGCGGCGGAGTCCCGCGTGGGGCAAGTGGTGTTGCCCGGCGACGTGCTGCTGCTGCCCGCGCACGCCGAGCAGGACCCCGAGCGGTTGCCGCTGGGCACCAGCGCGGCCCCGCGGGGACGGCTGCTGTGCGGGCCGGGCTTGCGGCGCTGTGCCGGCGGGCTGCTGGTGACCAAGTGCGGGCTGCTGCGGCACCGGCAGGCGGGCGGCGGGGCGGCGGCGGGCGGCGCCTATTGGGTGGACTCGCAGCAGAAGCGGGTACGGCGGGATGGGAAGGGGGAGGAGGGGGGTGCGGGAGGAGCGCGCTGACCGCTTGTTCCGCTCGCAGTACGTGCCGGTGAAGGGAGACCACGTTATCGGCATCGTGACGGGCAAGGTGGGGGACGTGTTCCGGCTGGATGTGGGCGGCAGCGAGCAGGCTTCGTTGTCCTACCTGGCCTTTGAGGGCGCGACCAAGAGGAACAGGCCTAACGTGCAGGTAATGCTGCCTTTTACCTTAGTAAAAGTTTGTTTGTGCCACTCACACAATATTAAGGATCTCTTGATCACATGAGGAAAAGGCTTGTGCTCCGTGACAGCCAGCATGGCTTCACCAGAGGAAGCTCATGCTTGACCAATCTGGTGGCCTTTTATGATGGAGTGACGGCATCGGTGGACAAGGGAAAGGCGACCGATGTCATTTACCTGGGCGTTAGCAAGGCCTGTGACATGGTCCCCCACCACATCCTTCTCTCCAAACTGGAGGGATGTGGATTTGATGGGTGGGCCACTCGATGGGTAAGAAACTGGTTGAAAGGCCGCAGACAGAGGGTGGTCATCAATGGCTCTATGTCCAGGTGGAGGCCGGTAACGAGCGGCGTCCCCCAGGGGTCTGTCTTGGGACCGGTGCTCTTTAACATCTTTATCAATGACATCGATGACGGAATCAAGTGCACCCTCAGCAAGTTTGCTGACGACACCAAGCTGAGTGGTGCGGTCGACACGGTTGAAGGAAGGGATGCCATTCAGAGGGACCTCGAGAGGCTAGAAAGGTGGGCCCGGGTGAACCTGATGAGGTTCAACAAGGCAAATAGCAGAGTTTTGCACTTGGGCCGGAGGAATCCCAGGCATTCCTACAGACTGGAAGGAGAGGTCCTTGAGAGCAGCCCTGTGGAGAAGGACCTGGGGGTCTTGATAGACGAAAAACTTAACATGAGCCAGCAGTGTGCCCTTGCGGCTCGGAAGGCAAATGGGATCCTGGGCTCCATCAAAAGAGGGGCGGCCAGCAGGGACAGGGAGGTGATTGTTCCCCTCTACTCTGCTCTTGTGAGGCCCCATCTGGAGTACTGCGTCCAAGTGTGGAGCCCCCATACAAAAAAAACACGGAGCTGTTGTAGAGGGTCCAGAGGAGGGCCACAAAGATGATCAGGGGACTGGAGCACCTCCCCTATGAGGACAGGCTGAGGGAGCTGGGCTTGTTCATTGTGGAGAAATGAAGGCTGCGGGGTGACCTCATTGCAGCATTTCAGTACCTAAAGGGAGCCTACAAACAGGAGGGGAATCAACTCTTTGAAAGGGTTGATAACTGCAGGGTGAGGGGAAAAGGTTTTAAGTTGAGGGAGGGGAGATTTAGGTTGGACGTCAGGGGAAAGTTCTTTACAGAGAGAGTGGTGAGGTGCTTGAACAGGCTGCCCAGAGAGGTTGTGGATGCCCCGTCCCTGGAGGTGTTCAAGGCCAGATTGGATGGGGCCCTGGGCAGCCTGGTCTAGCGTTAGGTGGGAAGGTTGGTGGCCCTGCGTGTGGTAGGGGGATTGGAGATTCATGATCCTTGAGGTCCCTTCCAACCTGTCAATTCTGTGATTCTGTGAACATGGCCCTTGGCAGACCTGATAAAGCAGTGCAGTAACAGAACTGGCTTTTAATATTCTTAATGTCTGAAGAAAGAGAAACTTAAGTTTGGTGCTTCAAAGAGGAGAAGTTATTGTGTGCACTATAATTCTGTAATCTTTGGTAGTAGCCTTCCAGATTCTAGTGGTGATATGGTTCCACATCTAAAGATGTCTTTAGTAGAAGAGGAGAACACTTCCTATTATAACAGCTCATTTCTCTATCACCGGTAATTCATTTCTCCATCACCAGTAATTAACCACCTCATCATAGAATGGTTTGGGTTGGAAGAGGACCTTAAAGATCATCCAATTCCAATCCTCTGTCACGAGGATGATTGCTACCCACTGCAGATCATACTGCCTAGGGCCCCATCTAGCCTGATCTTGACTGCTTCCAATTATGGTGCAGCTGCAGCTCTGGGCAGCCTGTGCCAGTGCCTGACTGCCCTCTGAGTAAAGAATCTTTTCCTAACATGTAACTTTAATCTCCCCTGTTTTAGTTCAAAGCCATTTCCCCTTGACCTATCACCAGGTAGGCTATATAAAAAGTCACTCCCTTCAAGTATTGGAAGGCTCTGATGAGGTCTATCCAGAGCCTTCTCTTCTCCAAGCTAAACAAGCCTAATTTCCTCAACTTTTCTTCACAGGAGAGGTGTTTCAGCCCTCCTCTGACCCATTCCAACAGCTCTGCATTCTTGTGCCAGGGGCCACAGGCTTGGACACAGTACCCCAGATGGGGCCTCATGACAGCAGAGTAAAGGGGAACAGTTACCTTGCTCATCCTGCTGGATACCCCTCTTTGGATCCAGCCTAGGATGCTCTTGACCTTCTGAGCTGCGAATGTACACTGCTGGTTCTTGTCCAGATTTTCATCCAGTTTACAACTATTGTGCTGTCTTGGTGCATCTTTATCGACTAAATGTTTCTTACGAATGTGCAGTATGATCTTCACAATGACTTTTTGTTTTCTGGCACTGCTTGCTTTAGGTGGGAGACCTTATTTACGGTCAGTTCCTTGTAGCAAATAAAGACATGGAACCAGAGATGGTCTGTATAGACAGCAGTGGAAGAGCAAGTGGAATGGGAATAATTGGACAAGATGGCTTCCTCTTCAAAGTTTCCTTAGGTCTGATAAGAAAGTAAGTACTAAGAAATCCAGTTGCGCTAACATGTAAGGATTGTAGTTTAACCCAGCAGGTGGTTAAACACACGCAGTCATTCGCTCATCTTCCTCCAAACTTTAACCTTCCCCCTCCCCCCCCACACACAGTTTCCAGTAGGCTGGGGAATAGAATGGTAAAAAAAAAAACAAAGAAAAAAACCCCAACACAAAGTAGAACTCATGGGTTGAGTGAGATAAAACTATTTACAAAGAGGGAAAAAAAAAAAGAGATAATACTTAAGACAAATACATATATATGATGTATATAGCAAGTGATGCACAGGCAATTGTTCACTACTTACTGACTGATGCCCAGCTAGGCCCCAAGCAGCAAAAGAGATAATGTCATATGGTATGGAATATCCCTTTGGCCACTTACAGTCGACTGTCTTGTTTCTATCCTTTCCCAGCCCTGCCCTGTGCCTCCTAGCTCCTTGTCAGTTTCCCACCCTCCAGTTGGTAGGACAGTAATAGAAAGTGGGAAAAATGAATGCTTGGCTCTGTACAGCGCTGCTCAGCAACAGCTAGAAACATCCCTGTATTATCAACATTGTTTTTCTCCTAAAATCGAAACATAGCATCATAGCAGACACTGAAGAAAAACAATTCTATGCAGCTGAAACTGTTACTGAGGAGAGTAACATTGTATTCTTAGGTAGGACGTGCACAGCTATGTCTAATCTAAGCAGCGTGAGCTAGCCAGTAATCAAGCTATGCGGTTATTCTAGTGCATTTATGCCAGTTTTACTGAGTAGAGGATGCGTGTACATTGAACTAGAAACAGTGCGTGACTATCTCAAAATAGGAATTGATAGTGATAAATGATGGTCCAACTTCTTGTTGCTTTGATGTTAAGGGGAGGAGAGGTGGGCATCTGTTCTTTGGAAATATGAAGTAGCTATTCCATACCTGGGTTTTGTAAATAATTTGGTTTGCATGTCCTATCATCAGTGTGAACAGTTAAGTTATTTTTCAGCCTTGTTCTCAGTAACTTCTGACTAATTAGAAAAACAACTATCAGTACACAAGCACTTTAGGTGCATGAATTTTGAGAGGAAAACTTAAATTCTGATACAGTATGACTATTCTGACTGGACATGCAATTTGAATCATCTTACCTTTTGGAGCTGCTCTTGTAACGCCAGTGCTGCAGTTTAGTTGCTGACTGACAGTGATGTAATACTTACCAAACATGAGTGTTCACTTTTCCCCCTAACCCTTTCTAATCTTATTTTACAGACTCTTGGCTCCCAAATGCGAAATAATTCAGGAACTGTCACAGCTGTACCCATTTGAGCTGGTGCTGGGAATGAATGGAAGAATATGGGTAAAAGCAAAAACAGTTCAACAGACTTTAATTATAGTAAATATTTTAGAAGCTTGTGAATATATGACTGCGGAGCAGAGGAAACAAGCGCTTGCCAAACTGTCAGGGAATTGAGTAAAAGAAAGTTTGAGGATTTGTGAGAACTGTTGGACCTTCTGTTTATTTTTGTATTCAGATTTATATTAAAAGTCACACTAAATGAAGTCCCAGACGTTTTTAGTGGTTCTTCAATTCCCCTGATGCACTCAGCTGGTTCTACCTTTTTTAGGATGACTTGCGATTATGAGACACTGTCCATTGTTGTGGATTTTGACTGGTGTGGAGATGGGCTTGAAGAGCTTCAATTAACTGTAGGTTTTGACATGCAGTTTTTCCAGAAGAAAACAGGTCAGTTTATAAGCTAGGTATTACTAGTTAATGTTAGCTAGGTTTTACTAGTTAATGTTAGAGCTTCAGACAGTACGTATTTACTTGGGGGAGCTGAAAGTATCCTGTGAATCATCTGTTCTGGTCAGGTGTTTTGTATAAGTA